CTTAAGATTTTATTTGACAGAGAGAGTGAGCACAACATGCAGGGGGAGAAGCAGGCAGAGGAAGCAGGCTCCCCGCTGAGCAGGGAGCCCGATGCGGGGCTCGATCCCAGGACCCTGGGACCATGACCCGAGCCGAAGGCAGACGCTTAACTGACTGAGCCACCCAGGTGCCCCGGCCTGTGATTTTCTCTTCTTGTGGACTGCTCGTCTTGTTTTGGTATTAGGGTAATGGCCTCGTAAACTGAGTGTGGACGGGTTCCCTCTGCTGCTATTTTCTGACTGTTTGGTAGAGTTCACCAGTGAAGCCATGTGGTTCTGGACTTGTGTTTGTTGGGAGGTTTTTGATGAACTGACCTTGGTCTCCTTACTAGTAGTTGGTCTGTTCAGTTTTTTTTTTTTAATTTTCATGATTCTGTCTTGGTAGGTTGTCTGTTTCTAGGAATTTATTGACCTCTTCTAGGTTGTCAAATTATTGGCATATAATTGTTCATAGTAGTCTCTTTGATCCTGCGTGTTTCTGTGGTATCCGTTGTAACATTTTGTTTTTGATCTTTGAGTCTTTTTCAAACCTTTGTGAGTCTAGCTGTAGGTTTGTCAATTTTATCTTTTCAAAGAACTAGCTCTTAGTTTCATTGATCTTTTGTCTTTTTAGTCTCTATTCTATTTATTTCTGCTCTCATCTTTGTTATTTCCTTCCTTCTCCTAACTTTGGGGTGCATTTCCCCCTAACTTCTTGAGGTGTAAAGTCTGGTCATTAATTTGAGATTTCTTTCTTGTTCTTTGGTTAGGCATTGATTACCACGAACTTCCCTCCTAGAGCTGCTTTGGCTGCATCCTGTACATTTGGGATGTTGTATTTCCATATTCATTTGTCGCAAGGTTTTTTTTTTTTTTTTTTTTAAAGATTTTATTTATTTATTTGAGAGAGAGAATGAGAGATAGAAAGCACGAGAGGGAAGAGGGTCAGAGGGAGAAGCAGACTCCCCGCTGAGCAGGGACCCCGATGCAGGACTCGATCCCGGGACTCCAGGATCATGACCTGAGCCGAAGGCAGTCGCTTAACCAACTGAGCCACCCAGGCGCCCCTTGTTTTTTTTTTTTAATTTGCCTTTTGATTTCATCTTTGACTCAGTGGTTGGTCAGCAGCGAGGTGTTGATTCTCCACATACTTGTGACTTTTCCAGTTTCCTTCCTGTAATTGCTTTCTAGGTTTGTACCACTGTGGTTCACGAAGATTTTTGGGAAGGGTTCAGTCTTGAATTTATTAAGACTTGTTTGTGGCCTACGGTATATTCTGTACTAGTGAATGTTTCTGGTGTGCTTGGCGACAGTGTTTATTCCCTTGGTTTTGGGTGGAATGTTCTGTGTAGTTCTAAGTCCATCTGGTCTGACATGTTTAAGGCTGGCGTTTCCTTATTGATTTTTCTGATCTATCCGTTGATATATGTGGGTACTGAAGTTTCCTACTATTATAATATTGGTGTTTGTTTCTTCCTTTTGGTCTGTTAATATTTGCTTGTATATTTAGGTGCTGCTATGTTGGGAGCATCCGTGGTTATATGCTACATCCTCGTGTTGGACCTCTGTATCATGTAATACCCTTCTTTGTCTCTTATTACAGTCTTTGTTGTATGTATGTATGTATAGACCAAGAGCTAGTGGGCACATGCATGCATGGGGGGGTGGAGAGGCAGAGGGGGAGGGAGACAACCTTAAGCAGATTCCATGCCTAGCGTTGAGCCTGACACAGGGCTCAATCTCATGACCCTGAGATCATGACCTGAGCCGAAACTGAGAGTCAGACCCTTAACCGACTGAGCCACCCAGAGGCCCCACAGTGTGTTTTAAAGTTTACTTTGATATAAATACAGCTGTGCCAGGTTTTGTCTGGTTTGCATTTGCACGGAATACCTTTTTCTATCCCTTCAATTTCAGTCTGTGTGTCCTTCCATCTGAAGTGAGTCTCTTGTAGGCAACATACAAATGGGTCTTTTTTTTTTTTTTTTTCCCTTTCAGACACTCAGTGTCTTTTGACTGGAGAATTTATGCCATTGACATTTACGTTAATTTCTTTTTTAAAGATTTTTATTTGAGAGAGAGAGAGAGCCAGCAAGAGGAGGGGCAGAGGGAGAAGTAGGCTCCCCACTGAGTAGTTATTTTTTTAAGTTTTTAATTTTTTAAAGATTTTATTTGACAGACACAGTGAGAGAGGGAACACAAGCAGGGGGAGTGGGAGAGGGAGAAGCAGGCTTCCCGCGGAGCAGGGAGCCCGATGTGGGGCTCGATCCCAGGACCCTGGGACCATGACCTGAGCCAAAAGCAGATGCTTAATGACTGAGCCACCCAGGCGCCCCTATTTTTTTTTTTTTAAGATTTTTTTTCAATTCATTTGAGAGAGCGAGAGAGCCTGCGAGAGCACATGAGCTGGGGGGAGGGTCAGAGGGAGAGGGTGAAGCAGACTCCCTGCTTAGCCATGGGGGGGGTGGCATTGACATTTATTTTATTTATTTTTAAAAAAGATTTTTATTTATTTATTTGACAGTGAGAGATACAGCGAGAGAGGGAACACAAGCAGCGGGAGTGGGAGAGGGAGAAGCGGGCTTCCTGCTGAGCAAGGAGCCCGATGTGGGGCTCCATCCCAGGACTCTGGGATCATGACTTGAGCCGAAGGCAGTTGCTTAACGACTGAGCCACCCAGGCGCCCCGGCATTGACATTTAATTTAATTATTGATAGGTATGTACTTACTGCCATTTGGTTAATTGCTTCTGGCTGGCTTGGTGGTCCTGTTTGGTGGTCCTATATGCTGTTCTAGGTCTGTCCCCTACGAATGCAGCTCAGGGGTGAGTCCCATGACCCGTGTGGATCCAGTCTGGGGTGACTAATCATCCTGGTTTGTCTGAGACTAAGGGTTTTCACAGGATGTGAGATTTTTAGTAGTGGATCTGAGAAAGTCCTGGGGAAACAGATACACTGGTCACCTCAGTTCACCCACAGAAGCAGGGGATTCCCCCTCTGCAGCTCCTTCCTTTCTAGATGTTGGTTTGTATGCTCCTTGGGAGCTTCTTGGGTGTGATCGAAACTGGCCTCCTTACACTGGAAGGTGGGGAGAGACTGAAGGGAGAAGGGGGCCAGGTGGGCAGGCAGCAGGGTTAACCAGCAAGGGGACTCCCAGACGAGGCTCGGCTCGTTGCGGGAGCCATGAGGTGGATAGGTCTTTGCACCCGCCCACCACATCTTACGAGTCTGTATAGAGGTCTTAACTGGGTTCAGTCACAGATACTGTCTGGATGGTCTCAGCACCACGTCTTCAGGCTGTGACCTCGGGGCAGCCTCCAGGAGTGAGGAAGGCAGGTGGGACCCATGTTCCCAGGACCGGGAGGGGGGGTGAGGAGCCTCTGAATGCTGGGGTCCAGCTGCAGGGTCATCCACGGTCACATCCCCTTCATGACGTCCCCTAACACAAGAATTTCCTTGCTCTTTCCACTCTGCGGGGCCCTGTCTTACTTCTTCCAGCCAGAATGTGACAGGGTTTCTGGAGGGTTTTTTTTTTTTTTTTTTTTTAAGGTTTTATCCATTTATTTGAGAGAGAGAGAGCACATGAGAAGGGGGAGGGTCACAGGGAGAAGCAGACTCCCTGATGAGCAGGGAGCCCGATGCAGGACTCGATCCCGGGACTCCGGGATCATGACCTGAGCCGAAGGCAGACACTTAACTGACTGAACCACCCAGGTGCCCCTCTGGAGGGTTTTAATCACCTGTCCTGCCCCATCATGTTGCTCTGGGTGGCACCTGGAGGTTTGAGGGAAATGAGAGAAAGTGTGTGGGAACCCACATCTTTGAGGGTCACTTTTCTGTTTCCACTCCACCATCTGTCCACTTTTGGTCACTTTTCAGTATTTTCAGGTAGTTTCCTTTTGTATTTTATTTATTTGTCTCAGAGAGAGAGAGGGAGAGAGCGCACAAGCAGGGGGAGTGGGAGAGGGAGAAGCAGGCTCCCCGCTGAGCAGGGAGCCCAAGGCGGGGCTCGATCCCAGGACCCTGGGGATCATGACCCGAGGCGAAGGCAGATGCTTAACCAGGCGTCCCTCCTTTTGTATTTTGTCTAGAGTTTGTAGATGTGAGCCACAGGAGATATAGGCTTTTATTTATTTTTTAAAGTAAATTCTACACCCAACATGGGGCTCGAACTCACGACCCCAAGATCAAGAGTCACAGGCTCCTCTGAGCCAGCCCGGCACCCTTGTTTAACCACAGTATTTAAAAAGCCTTTCTCTTGGGGCGCCCCCCTGCATCTTCACCATTTTTAAGTGCACAGTTCGGGGGCATCAAGCCCGTTGGCACTGTTGTGTGGACACTACCACCATCCGTCCTCCGGGTCCATCCTCCCTGACTGAAATCTGCCTCCATTAAACACTGGCTCACCCTCGTTCTCCAGCCCTTGGTAACCTGGAGAGAAAGGTTTTTGAAGCCTCTGCTTGGAAGTTGTTTTTAAAAATATTTTACTTATTTACTTGAGAGAAAGAGAGCTGGCGTTTGGCCCTTAGTGACCTCCTGGCTCTTTGAGGTCAGTCCATTAGCCAGGGTCTTAACCCTGGAGCACCCCGTCTCCCCTGCCTCTCAAGCCAGGAATCTGTTCAGCTCGGCTCATCTCGGAGCAGCTCTCGGGCTGCCCTGGCCGGACCCCTGCCTGGTCCGGGCTACCAGCAACAGGGCAGTGGGTGCAGCAGGGGCGAGGCCCTGTTCTAGCCCAGCCTGGTGACGCACTGGCCGTGTGACTGCCAGCAAGTCCCTTCCCCCCTTGTCCCACGTTTACACTTTGGGTCGAATCTTCCAGCGCCCCGCGGGAGAAGCCTGAGTGCGGGAGACGGGCAGGGTGGGGATTGGCAGCGTCCTGGAACTTTGTCCTTGGAGGGGCTGTGATTTGCAGCAGGGAGCGGGGAGGAGTCCCACCTGGCTCAGTGGTGCTTGGGGTTCACAGCACCTGGCTTTTATTTCCAGGAGGAGATGCAAAAGGGGGCGGCGGCCCCGCAGCCTCTGAGGACCCCCGGAGCCCTGTGCTCCCGCAACTCCCGCGCCGCCCGCAGCTCCTGGATGAGGACGGAGGGCCCAGTGAGGAAGTGGCCGCAGATGGGGGCAGGTCCCCAGCCCCAGAGGATCCCTCGGCCAACGCCCAAGCCGAAGCCGTGGCCGTGTCCCCCGCCCAGGCTGAGGCTGCGGGGGAGGCCCACCAGGGGCCCAAGGTGGCAGCCGGCGGGGTGCCCAACATCGGCTTCGTGGGCGAGCCCCCACCCTACGCGCCGCCGGACCCCAAGGCCGTGCACCTGCTGTACCCATCCTTCCCGCAGGGGCCGGTCCTCTTCCAGCCTGGGCCCTCGCCCCAGGCCCTGTACCCGCCGCCGCCCGCCGCGCCGCCGCTCTTCACACCCTTCCCGGTGGTGAGTGGGTCCGACCCCCGCCTCCCCCACAGCCCGGGGCCCCCAGCCCCACGCCCACTTACTTCCCATGCAGCCGCCCCAGCCCCCGCCTCCTCCACACCCCGGGACCCCCGACGCCACGTCCACTTACTTCCCACTCAGCCCCCCCCCCCACCCCTGCCCCCCCCCCGGCCTCCCCCACACCCTGGGACCCCCAGCGCCATGCCCGCTTACTTCCCACGCAGCCCCCCCAGGCCCTCACCTCGGGCCCCCCCCCCCGCCTCCCCCTCACCCCGGGACCCCCTGCGCTGCAGGCACTTACTTCCCACAAATCCCCCTTGCTGCCCCCCACTCACCACCACCTCCCTCGCCAGGGGAGAGCTTGGCACATGTAGGTTACGAAAAGTCACCGTCAGTGACCCCTGCAGAGGAGCTTCAATGCCCAGATGAGGGAAGGGAAAGGATTCTGCAGCCTGGGGGCGGTGGGCGAGCCTGGAAGTCTTCCCAGAGGTGGGGGCGTTTGAGCTGAGTTCTGAGGGGTGAAGAGGAGCTTTCAGGTGGAGAGGAGGAGGGGTCCTCTGGGCACAGGCCTGGGGGGTGGCCGCCCCCCTCCCAGTCACCTGGGGATGACAGGGGTCGGCTCAGCTTAGTGAGGAGGACAGGGTAGGAGGGTGGGGTCCCTAGTGAGGGCCCCAGGGCTTTTGGGTGGGAGGTGACTTGATTAGATTTTTAGAAAAGCTGAGAGACCCTGGGGTGCCTGTGGGGGAGAGCTTAGATGCCCCCCGTGGTGGGAGCGCAGTCAGGGCAGGGAGAGACAGAGATGGCCCCCCCTGACTGAGCGGTTTGTAGAGGGCAGAAGCCAGAGGACTCCTGGGGCTGGTGACAGGCGGGGGGGTTGCGGAGCGAGAAGGCAGAGGGGGGCCCGGACCTGACCCGTCGGTGACTGGCAGCCTCACTGGGCGGGCGGTGGCCCTGGATAGCTGTGTCCTCACCGCGGTGTGGCGGCCTCTGTCCCCACAGTACAACGGCCCCGTGGCCGGCGTACCGGCCCCCGCGGTGGTGGACCGCAGGCCCCACCCCAAGGACTACATGATGGAGTCCGTGCTGGTGTCACTCTTCTGCTGCCTGCTCACGGGGCTTGTCGCGATTGTCTATTCCCACGAGGTAGGTGGGGGTGGACAGCCCGGGGCCGCACTCCCCACCCGCAGCTGGCAGGGCCGGGGGTGGGGGGGGGCCACACAGCCCCTGGCCCAGCCACCGGTTCTCTCAGGAGGGTGGCAGGAACCGGGGGGATCAGTGCTTGGTTGTCCGGGCGTCCTTGTCCCTCTTGGATGGCCACCTCCGCCCCTCCTGTCTCTGCCCCAGACCACGGGAGATCTGCTCTAGAAAATCCCGCTAAACCAGTTTCTAACAAAAGGTGTGAATGATAAGGCCCAAGGAACTGCCTGCCTCAATGGGAGCTTGTGTTCAGTGGGGTAGAGACTGTCGCCCATCCACCCACACATTTCTGCCCATCTCCCTCTCCCCATCTACTCCCCTGTCTACCCGCCCATCCGTCCACTTACTACCTCTCTAGTCTCCACTCATCCCTCCATCTGTCCACGCGCTCTCCCACTCACCTCTCTATTATCTGTCAACTCAGCCACCCGTCCGTCCCTGTCTACCCACTACCATCCGTCCATCTGTCTGTCCGTCCATCCATCACCTGCACAGCTTCCTTCCTTCCTCCTGACATTCCTGACCAGGCATGGGGTTGGTCCCTGGCGACCCAGTGATGCCCGTGTGAGAATGTGCCAGGAAACAGAGTAGTAAGCCCCCCATCTGTGCAAAGCAGACCCGGTCATGGCCCTGACGTCCCCACGCCGGTCAGGCTCCCCCCGTCATGAAGCTGGGATGGTGGGGAGAAGGCAGCTCTCAGGACTGCAGGGAGGCGGGGGTCTGGAGGCCGCTGGCCACCTGCCTGTGAGTTCTGGCTCCAGGTGGGTCGCTGAACTGAGCCTCTGTTTCCTCCTCTGCAGGGTGGGGGCACGAGCGGCCCCAGTCTCAGGGTGGTTGTGAGGGGGGGCAGGGGAGGCTGTGGCTTGGGGCCCGGCCCGCGGGGCAGGTGCCCAGGCGCGGGCGGCCGTGGCCCTCCCGGCTGCTGCTGCTTCCCACGCGGTGGCTCGGGCAGGTCGCAGGCTTCTCAGGGTGCCCGCAGTCCGGGCTGCGCGTGGGGGGGCGCGGGGGCTCCGTGTCACGCCCGGCCTCCGTCTCGTTGCAGACGCGCGCCGCCCTGAGCAGGGGGGACCTGGCCCAGGCTGAGGAGGCGTCCCGCAAGGCCCGCTCGCTGGTGCTCTTCAGCCTGCTCTTCGGGGTCTTCGTGTCCACCAGCTGGGTCATCTATGTGGTGGTGGCGCTCTACCTCCCCTGAGAGCTGCTGGCTCCTTTGGGGATGCCGGGACGCACAAGGACCCCCAAGCTGGACAGACTCTTTCTGTGGACTTTGACCCCCGCTGCTGGCCATCGGTTGCCTACAGAGGGGCCCCAGGGCCAGAAGACGGTGGGATGCGCAGCCCCAGGCACACCTGCAGCTGGGCCTCAGCCCCTCCAGGTGGCCTCAGGCAGCGTCCTAACCTGAACTGGCCCCAGGGCCCAGGCCCACCGGAGCCCCCATCCTCTGTGCCTCCTCCCAGGGTCTTTCTGGGGCTCTGCTGGCTGGGCCCCAGGGCCCTTGCCTCCACCTTACACCCGGGAGACCATCAAAGGGACCAGAGCTGTCCTTGTCCTCAGAGCCATCAGGAAGGACACCACCAACTCCGGCCTCCTCCCACCTGCGGCCGGGCCTGGTGACTGCCGGGCAAAGCTGCTGGCGTTTGGTCTTTCCTGTGGAGGAGCTGAGTGGCCTCCTCTCTCCCCGGTAGCTCCTGGCTGATCGTTCTGAGCCCCTGCCCCGTCCCTGGAGACAAGCGCTCTCATGCTGACTCCGTGTCCAGAAACCAAGGCCGCCGTGTCTGGTCAATAAACAAAAAGCAACCCCCTGGGCAGAGCTTCACATTGCTACTTCCTGGCTCCCTTGCAGGGTGCGCGGCAGCATCTGTCCCCAGCTGGGCCCTGGGGGCTCCCCTGGCTGCCCCTCTCTCAGATGCTGTTCGCATGAAGGCAGCTCGGGCAAGGGTCTGTTTGTTGCTCACGTTGTGTGGCCCCTCTGAGATGTGACCCACTACTCATGGGGCTCCTTTACCAGAAACTTCTTTCTCCCCTCCTCCCTGCCTCCTGCTTACTCCGTCTGCAGTCTTTCGGTTCTGCCCCACTCCCACTCCGTGTGCGTTTTCTGCTCACTCCTTCTGTCCCTAACTTTATCGCCCACCCATGGAGGATCCACTGGGTCCCTGTGTGGCGAGGGCCACCCTGACCGGGGAGCACTCAGGGGGCCCTAGAGGCTGCTGGATGGCCTATAGAGCTGTACGTGGGTGTCCCTGCATCGTGCCTGGTACCCCAGTCCAGTCAGCTGTGGTCCTGAGAATGGCCTTCCACGTTAGCAAGACTCAGAACGGTCTGCAGAGGAAGGGGGCTTAGGGAGCAGGGAGTGGAGGCCCCCTGCGGCTCCCCAGCCAGTGACCTTCTTGCTTGGCCAGGCCCCAGCCGCAAGAACAGTCCTTGCCTTCAAGGAGTTTCTGGTTTCTTGAGCAAATTGAGATTTCCCCATCTGTAAAATGGGGTGGCGGCAGTACGACCTGTCCCTGGAGTTGTGGGCAGACTCGGTGGAGACCCCATGGGTGTTCAGCACAGTGCCTGGCTTGTGGCGAGCACTTGGAATGGACCAGCTGCGTAGGGATGGTGGGGATTTCTGTAGGGAATCCCACAGCCAAAGGTTTTGGGAGAGCAGGGAGCAAGGGCCTTACCCTGGGCTTCAGGACAGCCAGGAACTTCCCAACCAGCAGGGAGGGAAAGCCATTCATGGGCGTTTTCCTGGGAAGGTGTCCAGATTCTCAGAGGGGTCTGTGACTCAAGATAAAAACCCATCTGCACGGAGAGGAGGAAGCCCCCTGCCCCTCAGCTGAGCCACTCAAGAAGGACCGCTTGAGTGAAGTCAAGTGATTTCTGAGCACCCACTCTGTGCTGCTCACAGCCCTGCCACCTGAAGCAGGGGTACGTCCGTCTCAGCCTGGAGATGCGCCGGGGAGCTGAAGAGACACGGATGGGGAAGTAAGTGGTAAGCGAGGATGCTGGGGGGTTGAGAGGTGACCTCCTGTTGGAGGGCACAGGGCTGGCCCAGAATTAGGATATCAAACAGTAGGATGCATGACAGCCACCAAGGAAGAATCCCTTTTTTAGGGTCAGTAGACGCCAGAAAGTATTTGGTAGCATCAAATAGCCACAACTTTAATTACTAAACTCTTAAGTAAAATCAGGATAGGAAGAAATCGTCTAGACCAGCATTCCTTGAACATGATGTAGGAAATACCTGGCAAATCTTGTTAACGTGCGGGTTCTGGTTCAGTCGGCAGGACAGGCACTGACAGCAAATGGCACATTAGGTGGAAAATTACTAAAACCATTAAAAGCCATTATAACCAGGACCAAGCTGTGGATGTCCCCTAGTGAGGTTCTAGCTAATGTAGAAAACATCAAAGTGAAATCTGTCGTATTAAAAACTAGGAAGAGACCATGATTGTCTAGCTGGAATATCTAAGAGGCAGTGGTTGGATATAAAAATCTACAAAGAGTCAACAGCAATAATTAGTTACCAGTGGAAAAAAATAAAAAATTCCATGCACATAGTATAAAAACAGCAAGATCTAGATCCAAATGAAGGATGATTTTTAAAAAATACCAAAAGACAAAACAAAAAACAAAAAACAAAACACCACAAAATATCTGGGTAGGAAAATATAATGTAAGGATATTTAGCCTTCTTAAATGGAGATTTAATTAAGTTCCCACAAGGAAACCATGCTTTTAAGACTATGGAAAAAATGTTTTTAAAATCAATATGAAAGGAAAATGTGCAACAGTTGTGAATATATATTTTTTTAAGTTTAATGAGGGAGAACTTTCTGCACTTGATGCTAAAACTTCCTATAAAGCTACAGTACTCAGGATAGCATGGGGCGCCTGGGTGGCTCAGTGGGTTAAACCTCTGCCTTCGGCTCAGGTCAAGATCCTGGGGTCCTGGGATCGAGCCCCAAGTACAGGCTACCTGCTCAGAGGGGAGTCTGCTTCTCCCTCTCCGTCTGCATTTGTGTTCTCTCTCTTAAATAAAATCTTAAAAAAAAAAGATCAGAGAGGGAGGGGGAGAGAGCACAAGTGGGGGAGAGGCAGAGGGAGAAGCAGACTCCCCGCTGAGCAGGGAGCCCCGACATGGAACAGGGGACCCTGGGATCATGACCTGAGCCGAAGGCAGACTGAGCCACCCAGGTGTCCCTCAAATAAATAAAATCCTAAAAAAAAAACCCAAAAAACCCAGGACAGCATGACTTTGCCACAGAGATAGGTCAGTGAAAAATAGAAAGTCCAGAAAACATTTTGAGTGTGTATATCTGTCAAAATGGCATTTAAATTGGGAGAGTCAAGGAAGGCTCATAATATGCAGAGTTGGTTATCTGGTTATCTGAAAAAATAATTCTCTTTTTAATTGTATGCAAAACTGAATTCCAGATAGGGCTAAAGAGCTAAGTGTAAAATAGACCTCCACTGGCGACAGAGGAAGGTGGAGGAGGTCTATAACTCGGGGTGCTAGGTGGGACAGAGGGGAGGCTGCTTACGTCTGGAAAACCACTCGGAAAGACTGTATGTCCACAGAATACTGATCTGGACCACGAGGTGGCTTCTATTGTCGGACGGGAAAACTTGATGGAATACATCCAGCGTTGGCGAGGGACCCAACTTAGACTCTCTCATTTATTGCTGGTGCGTGTGCTGCCACGGTGTTTGTGGCAAGTAGATAGCTGGCCTCTCTGAATAATACACGCACCCCGTGTTCACATGCCTGTATGTGCAAAGAACAGTCTAGAAGGATACATTCTCAACTGCTGACAGCGGCTGGCTTTGAGGAGGGAGCAGGGCGAGGAGGGTTTGTGCACTACATGCCGCACTTTAGAACAGAACTGCGCTTGTGCGTCGTGTAATTAAAAGTAACTGAAAACGTGCGTGGCTTTCGACCTGGCAGGTCCAGTTTTAGGGTTCGCAGCAGTGAAGGGGGACAGTCTGTTTTCCCGAAGCTTCCGGTCAGACCGTGTAGATTCCAGCTGTGCCGGTGTGCCACGGGGGCGGGCGCCGGGCAAGTCTGAAATGTCGAGTGGAACCGAGGAGGAATGGGTTCGGGTGCATCCTGATTGCACAGATGTCGCTCTCGGGCGGCATCGAAGTGTTTGCCCAGAACGTGGTAAAGGAAGGCTTTCCTGCAGACCATGGGGTCCATTAAAAAGTGCAAGGAGATGCTGCCAACCTGCACCCTCAAGTGGACTGTATCATTCTGCATCCTCCCCACCCACCAGCAACGGAGGGGGCGGCGGTGGCTCCCCTTCTCAACCCTGGGATCTGTCCGTCTTTAAGTTGTGGGGCAGCTGGTAGTGGAACCGTAGTGGGGTCAGTGTGGCTTTAATCTGCATCTCTCTGATGACGGTGATGCTGGGCCTCAACATATGCTTGTCATCTCTTCATGATGTGCCTCTGCAAGACTTGGGCCCATTTGTGTGCTGGGCTGTCGTCTTATCAAACGAGTTTTTTTTTTTTTTTTTTTTTTTAAAAGATTTTACTTACTTATTTGACAGAGAGAGACACAGCGAGAGAGGGAACACAAGCAGGGGGAGTGGGAGAGGGAGAAGCAGGCTTCCCGCTGAGCAGGGAGTCCAATGCGGGGCTCGATCCCAGGACCCTGGGACCATGACCTGAGCTGAAGGCAGACGCTTGACTGAGCCACCCAGGCGCCCCGAGAGGAGTTCTTTATGTATTCTGGCAATGAGTCCTATAGTCTCCCTTTTCACTCTCTGTAGGGTCACCTGATGAAAACAAGTTCTCAGTTGTAATATATACCAATGTATCTTTTCCTTTACGGATAATGCTTTTTGTGGCTTAAGAAAAATTCCCCTATTCCGAGGTCATGAAGATAGTCTCTTCTGTTGTCTGCTAGATCCAGAAGATTTACTGGTGGTATATTTTCACACCTGGATCTGTCACCTACCTGGAGTAGACTCCAGAGGTCCATTTGTCTATTCTTGTTCCGTGTCCTGCTTCATTTACTGTGGCAGGATAGTAAGTCTTGATATTGGGGAGGTCAAGCCCTCCCACCATCTTTAAGGGTCTTGGCCATTTAAAATCATTTCTATTTATAATGAACTTTAGAATTAACTTGTCAATTTTCACCAAAATAAAGTTTGGGATTTTGACTAGGATTGCTTTAAATCTATGGATTAATTTGGGAACAACTGG